CCTACCAGGGATGAAACTTAAGGTTTGACACATGGGTATCGGGTAAAGGTGGGACTATTCTTTTAGTGGAAGGTGATGGTCTCATTGCTAGCGAGGTGCCTATGATGACTTCGTCAATCACAAATTTACAATTCCCGTCGACCAAGCCTCTCCGAGGAGCTTATAAGGGTATGGTGTACGTGTGTGCATTTATGAGATTGATTGTATGTGTGTACATGTGAGCGTATGTGTTGTACTTCCTCTATAAAGAAATATAAGGCTTTAGGCTACCTGCAATGCATTGGTGCTTACATGAGGTGCTAAGCACATTAAACTTTAGCAACTAAAACCCCTAATGCATAGATGCTTAACTTGTTGGTGCTAAGCATCCTTCATTTAGTGATTTTGCAACAAAGTTCTTCATGCATCGGTGGGCTTCTTCCATTTAAGTGTTTTGCCGAGGTTCTCGTGCTTGGCATTGTTTCTTCCTGGGGTTACCATGCTCATCTCTCTCCTCTTAATTACCTTGTCACGTCAGATTTTTTGCCTACATGACAGCCTTTAGCACCTGTACAAGGTGGAGCACTAAAAGGGGCCTTAAATCACTAGAATAATGATCTAAATCGCTCTTATATTTCTTTATCAAGGGAGTACTTTGTTTCTAAAAAATATCAGGTCCAAAAGAGCGCAAAATCGATCATTGCCTCCGTTTCCCTGTTCGACATTGAGAGTTTAATTAAAGATGTAGGCTGCCGAGTTGCAACAGCATCGCCACGAGGAGACAGTGACGGCCGCAAGTGATATGCTTGCGTTAATCACCCATCTATCCGCTGCTACCAACCAGAATCATCAAATGCAAAAGGCCTACCGCTGACTACAAATCAATGCTTTGTTTGCACTAAAGACTGTATAAAGGAACCAAATTAAGACACACACACACACTAACCCTAGCTCATAAAGGAAAGAGTACTTCTAAAGAAAAGAAAGAGCGGCATGAGCTCGTCGGTCCAGGCCCAACCCATGCGGCTCAAGCTCAAGGCCGTGTACCGGCTGATCGTGGACAACTTCCTTGTCGCTTCCTGTCTCGTCGCCCTCGTGCGGTTCGGCCCGGCGGAGCTCATCAGGTACATCATCCGGCCAGTGCACCTGTTCTTTGCGGCCGCAGCGGCCGCCGTGTACCTAATGCTGCGCCCGCGCGCGGTGTACCTGATCGACTACGCCTGCTTCAACACCTCGCCGCTTGGCCGCATCCCCATGGCCTCATTCATCGAGCACACCAAGCATACTCCCACCATGAGCGACCGCAGCGTCCGGTTCATGTCGCGACTGCTGGCGCGCTCCGGGCTCGGGGAGCAGACCTGCCTGCCGGAGGCGCACCACTTCATCCCCACGCACGAGTATTGCACCCTCGAGAACGCCCGCGCCGAGTTCGAGCTCGTTGTCTTCTCGGCCATCGACGACCTGCTCGCCAAGACCGGCATCGCCCCAGACTCCATCGGCGTGCTCGTCCTCAACTGCAGCCTCTTCTGCCCCACGCCATCTCTGGTCGACATCATCGTGAACAAGTACAACCTGCGCTGTGACATCCGTAGCGTGAACCTCTCCGGCATGGGGTGCAGCGCGGGGCTCATCTCCGTGGGCCTCGCCAATAACCTCCTGCAGGTTGTTCCCCAGGGGTCCCACGCGCTGGTCCTCTCCACGGAGACCATCACGCCAAACTACTACATCGGCAACGAGCGCGCGATGCTCCTGCCAAACTGCCTGTTTCGCGTCGGTGGGGTGGCGGCGCTGCTGTCGACGTTCCCCGCGAATACCCGGTTCCGCCTCAAGCACGTCGTGCGCACCTTCACCGGCGCAAATGACAGTGCTTACCAGTGCGTGTTCCAGGAGGAGGACGACCAGGGGAACGTCGGGATCAACCTCAGCAAGAACCTGATGGCCATCGCCGGGAATTCACTCCAGGCCAACATCACCGAGATCGCGCCGCTCGTCCTGCCTTTCTCCGAGCAGCTCCTTTTCGCCATCTCCTTTGTTGCGCGTAAGGTGCTTCGCGCACGTGTCAAGCCCTACATCCCGAACTTCTCCATGGCGTTCAAGCACCTGTGCATTCACGCCGGCGGACGCGCGGTCATCGACGAGCTGCAGAAGAGCCTCTGCCTCTCCGACGAGCAGGTGGAGGCGTCACGGATGACGCTGCACCGGTTCGGAAACACGTCTAGTAGCTCGCCGTGGTACGAGCTGGCCTACGTGGAGGCCAAAGGCCGGATGCGCAAGGGCCACCGCGTCTGGATGATCGGCTTCGGCTCAGGTTTCAAGTGCAACAGCGTGGTGTGGGAGTGCATCCAGCCTGCTGCCCGCAACACCCATGGGCCGTGGACCACGTCCATCCACAGGTATCCAGTGGACATTCCCGACGTGCTAAGCCACTAGCTTACACAACATAATAAACCCATCCCAGACGGTGGTGTAAACATGAACAATAAACCCCATACGGTCGTTTCTGCTTTGCAACAATTGTAAACGTTATCTTCTGTGTGCTCACGTACGTATCATGTAACCGAATGTCTCTTTTATCACTCACTTGCGATGTGTGTGATGGATTGTTGGATTACAAATGGGCTTTGACCCAAATAAGAAAATAATCCATGTTTAATCTTTAAGGTTCATTTAGGTGCATGCGAAAGGATGAAAAGTTTAGTACCATACTGTTACTATTGTAAAAATGAGACCCATTTATAAAGGTTGCTCTATCACTTACTATAGGAAGTTTGAGAAGAGGAATGATACACATGAGCTCCTCCGCCGCCCGTCATGACGCGTGAGCCGAGCCTTGTTTTTGCCGGCCAGGGATGGTTAACTAATTATGGATTAATTAACGAGCCGCTAATGGAAGTGCCACTGTCCAAGACGTTGGGCCGTGGGCTGTTTGCGTACTCGGTCATGGGCCTAAGTCCAGGCACATCTACCCGACGGCCTATATAAGAAGACTCTGGTCCGTGGAGTGAACCCTAACTCACACGCTCCCACATAACCCTAGTTGTCATATATTCTTCCTCTCATTGTGTCGTCTTCGGCGATCCCATCCCGACGAGGCGTGCAGGTTGGTCAAAAAAGCAGGTGTCTCCAGAATCCCGTCGTTTGAGATCCTGCCTGGGAGAACGGTGATAAGGTTTTTGGGGAGCGTCTCGGCAAGACTACTCCCGATCCATCCAAGTCCCCGTCCTCCTCCACATCGACTACTTCTCCTGCATCAACCCCATGGCCAGCGACGCCGCCAAGAAGAAGAAGGCCGCGGACGACGCAGATTCTGCTGTTGTCGCCGACGCATTGGCCTGGCCAACCGGAGGTATGATTCGTTCATTCCCTATTTGCTCGTAGCCGTCTATGTTGCGTTCATAGATGTTTTGGTTCTATCTACTGTACGCGCTCACATGCTTAGATATTGCATGAATTGCATACTGTGATTGCCATGTTTATGATCTACTCATGGATTAGATTTATCGAAAAGATGCTAATATTTCCAGCAATCCAAAAACTTTATTTTAAACACTTTTCGATTCAAGGCTTTGCCGCTACTTTGAAACTGGAAAAAATTTGCGGAACGCATTTTAAACGTTGACAAATAAGGACCACCTTGTGGCTCACAAACTCTGACCGGTTTTTTCTTTTTATAGTTTTCTGGACGCTTTTTATCCTTTCTTTTTCCTTCCATTTTTTCATTTTCTTTTTCTTTTTAAAATGCATGATTTTTTTTAAATCTGACTACGTTCTTCAAATTTATGAACATTTTTCGAAAATATGTGAACATTGTTTTGAAAATGGATAACACAATATTCCAAAATAGATGTTTTTTTTCAAAATTGATGATTTTCTAAAAAAAATATGAAATTTATCAAATTTATAAAAGAAAGCTAATTGTTGAACTTTTTTTAGATTTTAGGAAAAAAAGATTTGAGAACTTTTTTTCAAAATTGATGAATTCCTTTTCAAATTTGTGAACTTTGTCTCAAAATCAATGAAGTTTTTTTAAATGTACGGATTTTTTGAAGTTTGTGAGCTTTTTTCAAAATCTGTGAGCATTCCTGAATTCACTAATTTTGTCGGTTTTTCAAAGAAAAATCGGTTTTTATTTTTTCGTATTTGCGCCAAAAAGTCAACGGTTGTCAGTCAACTGGTCAACCCTAGGAGCGACCGTGAAACGGTTTCTAGAACGAGCAGCGTGGTTCTGAAACATTTCCTGGGCCAGCCTATAAGGCGTGCGCGTGGACGCCGTTTCTCCTAGCGGGCGCTTAAGACGCGGACTAGAAGGCCCTTACGAACATGGGTGAGAGACGACGGACATGTGACGTGCGTGCAACTTGGTTGGGCCGGTTGCAACAAAAGCCTAGTTACAAGACGTTCTGAAACAATGAACTCTTTTTGAGGGGTAAAGCATTTATTCAATAAAAGAAACAAATGTCCACAAGTTCCCAATTCATGAAAGCAGTCTCGCCTGCTCCAAACTTAAAAAACTTAAACAAAACCCAAAATCTCATCTGCAACAATCTGCAGGATCGAATCTGGTGGCTGAGAAGGCCACACCTTATTCATAGCAATGCTAACAGAAATGTGGAATATGTGAAGGTTGGATCTCGACCATCCAACAAAGAATCCATCCGATGCGGTGGACGCTCATCTAGGATCGATCGGTAGAAGGCAAGCATTTCCGGGAAGAGTTTGTGGCGGGGAGGAGGACACATCCCTCAGTAAAAATTAGACCGTAGTACCATTTTCGTAAGTGCGTAGGATTTTTGTCCCAGGACTCCGCATCAGGTGCTTCTTTTTCGGCGGAAAAAATATGAAGATGAATCAATCGCTGGCGTTTATTTTTAAAACGCAAGTGGCTTCCATTGGTCCACGTTGAAGTATTTCCCATCATGTCGACACCTTCCCGGGAAAAAATAAGAAACAAATGCAAGCGTCACGTGAGCACGCAGGCTAATTAAGCGTCGTCTCCTGGCCGCTGCAAATCGATCGCGGCCATGGACGACGGGGACCTGGACTTCTCCTCCATGTCCATGGGCAGCTACTTCGACGACGTGCTCGGGGGCGCGGCGGAGCACCTCGCGTGCTGCACCCACACCCACACCTGCAACCCGCCCGCCCACCACGTCCCCCACACCCACACCTGCCACCACGTCCCCCACACCCACACCTGCCACCACGTCCACTCCAAGTTCGCCGCCTCCGCCTCCTCCGACGCTGGCGCCGAGACCCCAGCCGAGTTCGAGGACGCCCACGCCACCTCCCGGAGCAAGAAGCGCCGCCCCTCGGGCAACCGAGCGGCCGTGCGCAAGTACCGCGAGAAGAAGAAGGAGCACACGGGGGTGCTGCAGGAGGAGGCGGCCCGTCTCAGGGCTATGAACGAGCAGCTCGCCAAGAAGGTCCAGGACCACGCCGCACTGGAGGCCGAGGCGGCCAGGCTCCGCTGCCTGCTCGTCGACGTCAGGGGCAGGATCGAAGGGGAGATCGGCTCCTTCCCTTACCAGCGGCGGCCGGCCAAGGGCGACGGCCCGGGCTCTGCTGGCCCGGTCATGATGAGCTCATGTGGCTTCGTACGAACCTGTGAACAGCCTCCTCTTTGTTTTCATCATTAGTAAAAGAGTAGCATCAGAATTTTACTCTGGATACGTTGCCTTCTGAGAGAAATTTTATGCCATTATCATTTTTTTTATGAAAAGCCTTCTTGGCCAGCTTTATTTCCGTTCAAGCATAGTTACATTGGATGCTAACTCAGGAAAGAAAAGTCAATTGGGACCAAAAATACCGTACTAACTGTTATTTAGAGTAATGATACGCTCAGTGAGGGATTGATTATGGGGTTCACGGACTAACAGACGTGGGCGATTGGGATTGGACAAGAGGGGAGGATGGGGTCCACCCCTGCTGAATATCAGCGGGAGAGAGATTAGTTAGAAGAAAATCACGTAAAAGCCCATAAAGGATCCGTGGTGTAGGATTATCGTGTTATTTAAACTAGTTTTGTAAAAATGACAGAGAGTGCAAACCTGGGAACCTGTACAAATTAAACAAATTTGCCAAAACCCGCCAAACCGAAAAATCATACCTCAAAAGTAAAAGCCCAGGCGTAGAGAAAAGAAAAGGTGTGTGCCAGTTCGGGGCGGTGTCAGTGCACGGAAATGGCCACGACGGGGACTTGGGGGATGTATTCGAGTCACTCAATCCAACCGAGTGGATTGAACCTGTTGGTGAACACGTCAACTAGAACCATTTCAGTATGTGCAGTTTCATCTGCTCAGTTTCTTTTCGCCCCCTAATTTTGCTCAACCCGCGCCTCTCTAGTCCAATTTGTTTCCAGTCCATCACAATCCACTATGAAACTATGTAAAGACCCGCACTGAAAAACCCAAATAAATCGACACCATTTCCAGGATGTTTTTTTTTTCTGAATGATAACAACAAACACTATTTACCGAGCTAAAAATACACTGTTTACCAAAAAGTCACTATAAAAGTTGAAGAGTATAAGAAGGCTAGCAGGGACCAGAATCCACAATATGCCCTCATCGTCGTCCATTGGAGCCCCTGGCCGAGGAGAAAGGTACAACCGCCGAGGGAGAAGATTGGCAAAGGAGGTACCACAACCAAAGACAAACCAATCATGTAATTTGTGTTAGTTTTTAAGCCAAAAATGTTTTGTGCGGATTCCACTCCAACAGCTTTTCGTATAAACTATGAGAACAAAGTTGCGTCTGAAAATTTGTCAAACAGTCATACTCAGCGGAAATTTTCATCTCTATATATTTTCCCCGTATGTCAGCCGTTTTCTCAACCTGAAGTTGCAACTTTTTCTTTTGGCTTGTTCTTCCATTCATGGGGGTAAGTGCAAGTTTAACAGCATATATATGCACATAGGTAGTATGTGATGTAGTTATATCTTAATTTGCGTTAAATTACATGTCTTCATTTCACCTTTTTGTTTACAAGGTGACTATGATCCAACAAATACAGTATATTTCCTCCCAAGGTACTCGAATTATAAAGATAGAAGAGAGCTAGTTATAAAATAGTACTGACAGATTCCACAAAAAGAAAGTTGTAAAATAGACAGAGTAATATTTTGCATCTCTCTTCTTTCCTTTTTCCTTTTCCTTTTCTTTCTACCCCAATTAAAAATAGAAGACAACTTTTTCTTTTTTAAGAAGAAACAAATAGAAGGGAAGTGGTTCACTAATTACATGTTCTACCTAAGTTGGCCTCAGGAATGTCGTCATTATGTGGCCATAGGCACGGCATGATCACCATGTGCTCACTCTCGCATCTGGAGCAAGAAATGTTGTCATCGTCGCAACACCATGTGTTAGTGACCAGCAACGTAGTACGGACGCGTCCCTGTCCAAAAAGTACGGCTCCCTCCAGGATCGACCCAAGCAAAATTAATCAACGCGTATGTATGGCGACAGAGACGGGCCTCTGCGACCTCCCGGCGGACTGCCTGGCCCTCGTCGCCTCCCTGACCTCCCCGGGCGATGCGTGCAGGCTGGCGGCCACCGCCACCACACTACCGGACTCGCGGTCTATGCCTACGGCCACGGGCCATCGGCATAGGCCCCTAAGCCGTCGGCATAGATCCATGCCTACGGCTGCCGTCGGCATAGACCCGTCGGCGTAGATGTCGTCAGCGTAGTCTTGTCAGACCGTCGGCATAGGGGTCTATGCCGACGGCCTAGCGTCAGCCGTCGGTATAGTATAGCCGTCGGCAATGTTTTCCGTCTGACGGCCGCGGACGGCACCGTCAAAAGCGCGGGCGAATCATGCAATGCCATGTGGTAGATGTATGCCGACGGTAAAGCCGTCGGCATATCTCTGCCACGTGGCAACCCGTGGTACTCCTGGTGGCAGGGCTATGCCTACGGCAAAGCCGTAGGCATAGATGAATCTATGCCGACGGCTGCTGTCGGCGTAGACATGGATAGCCCGACGGCCGTTGTACGCCGACGGCCAGGAGCTAGCTGTCGGCATAGCTCGGACTAGGCCGACGGCAGCCATCGGCATATGTTTGGCTGTCGGCGTAGAGCCCTGTTCCGGTAGTGCCACGCTCCGGGCCGCTGCCGGCTCCGACGATGTCTGGGGGAGCTTCCTCCCGGCGGACTGGGCGGACATCCTCGCGCGGTGTAGCACCGCCGGCCGCCGCGAGGGTGAAACAAAGAAGGAGCTCTTCTCCCGCCTCTGCGACTCCCCCGTTCTCCTCCACGGCGGCAAGCTGGTAATCTTTGCTGTTGCAGACTTAATTGTTAGTACCATTCGTCAAATGATCGATCTCGAATGACATTGGCATCGATCCGCCGGCCGGGCGAGAAGAGCTTCTCGCTGGACAGGCGTAGCGGCGGCAAGAAGTACATGATACCTGCGAAAGCTCTGTGCTACGGTTGGAGTGGCTACCTCCACGGAGGCCTCGCCTGGTCGCACTGCCACCCTCACTCCAGGTTTTGCTTTCGTGCCATTACGATAATTCCGGTTGAATTTCTGTGACTTTTATACTCCTTCACCTTGCTCACTTTGTATACATATTAGTACTTACAACTACTCCCTCCATTCCTAAATGTAGGTCTTTATAGAAATTTCACTATAGACCGCATACGGATGTATATAGATGCAGTTTAAGTTTAGATTCATTCATTTTGCTCCGTACGTAGTCCACCTACTGGAATCTCTACAAAGACTTATATTTAGGAACGGAGTGAGTATATATATTGTTCTTCTTTTGTAAAAGAATGCACACTCCCATTGTGAATTCAAAAAAATGCACACTCCCATAGTGAATATAGGCAGGTACGTAACTGTTAGATTAGGTGATCGAGATCTACTAGAAAACTTTAACCACATGATGTTTCCTAGTTAAACTGGTAAAAGATATTGGAAAGTAAAGCAAATAATTTAGATTGGGTTTGGCATTACGGTGGATTATTAATTATGAGAACCTTTTTGTCTGCATATTTTAGTGTTTGTTTGATCTGCTTTTGTCTACTTTTGAGGCTAATTTGTTACAGCACATTATTAACTAAGCATAGCACTAAAACACAGTTGAACAACCCGTAAACTAAGACTTACCCTTTCTTTTGTCTTGTAGATTCAGGGAGGTGGCTGTTCTATCGCACTTGTGTTGGCTGGACGTGTATGGCATTTTGAACACCAAAAACCTCCCGGGCGTCGGCAGAGGCTATGCCGCCTATCTCGTATACAGGGTGCATTGGTTGCCAGCTCCAAACACCACTCAGAAGCAAAGCCAAGAAGCTACAGCATCCTCTGTCGCCGCCATCTGCAACCATGAGTGCAACCATCTGGTGCCTCATAACTACTCGCGATCTCTGTTATGGGACTGGGACTGGGAACTCGATGGATCATCATCGCCGTCCGCGTTGGTAGCAATGACCGAGAAGAATCAAAGTCGGAAGCAGCGGTTGAAACCTGATGGCGTGAGCGTCAGGAGCGACGGACGGTGGGTAGAGCAAGAGATCAAGATAGAGTTGGACGAGCAGTGTGTGGAGGGAAAAGAGAGCAATGTTTCTGTTGAGTTCAGAGGGTTGACGGGGTCGCATGGGTGCCAGATTCTCATAGAGGGGATCGAGGTAAGGCCGAGAGCAAACGGGAGTTGAAAGCACGTAGACGCTGCTTAATTAGATAGATAAATTCAGTCGTATTGTCAAGTTTGTTTGTTTCTGTATTGCAATTCGCAAGTATGTTGTTAACTTGATATCTTAATTAATTTTGTGCCTTATGCTTGACTAGTGTTTTGACAACAAAGATCCAGAACAAAGGCATCATTGCATCATCTAGTTGGATAGTTATTAAGGAGCACATTTCTTTGCCTTTTGACGTTTGAAGGCCAAATGTTTGCCTAGTTCATCTATCTGGAAAGGAAACACTTTTGTCCCCTAAATCTGCCTTTTTGTTCTCTGGCCTGACATGCCTAAAAGTTATCGTTCGCAAATTGCCAAAGTTAACTCGAGTATTTGGGCCGCATGCACGGTTCCACCCCCCCCCTCCCCCGTGTCGCCCTTCTGAGGGCGACGAACCCTAGCCCACCGCCACCCCCTCCTCCTCTCTCCCCGCCTCGCCGCCGCCCGAGGCAGCTATCGGGACCCCCGCGCACTGCTGATGAGGGTGGCGGCAGGGTTCATGGTCGTTTCGCTGCTCGGCCTTGGACCTTGGGCTCGAGGCAGCGACCTCTTGTGGGGTAGGTGTCGTAGATCTGCTGCGGGCGGCGGCGCCCTCCGGCGCTGTGGGCGGCCTCTTCCCATCCGTGTGGGCGGCAGGTTAGCAACAGATGTGGGCGCCTTGCTGAGGGCTCCCCGCGGCCCTCTCGCTCCAGAGTTGAAGACGGCATGCTCGAATCTTGCGGTTAGATGTGCGGGTGCGGGGTGCAGAACTCTGGATCGGGTAACCGCTTGGTCGGCGGCGACGGCGGCCACAACGTCGGCAGCGCTCCAGGCGATGTTCCCCTTCCTGTTGGCGATGTTGAGGTCCATCTCCCCCCCTCCCCCCTCCTCCTCGCCTGCACCCGAGTGAAAACCCACAACCTTTGGTTGGGCGGCGGCAGCGCCGCCACGATGCTATCACCTTCTTGAAGGCGTTGTTTTCGGTCTGTGAGGAAGAGTGTGGGCGGCAACATGCTCTATGTGCTCCTGGTGGCAGCGGATTCTTCTTCCTGCAGTCAGGGGCGGAGCCAGGATTTGAGTATAGGGGGCCCAAGTCAAGTATAGCTAAAGATGTATCCAATGCAAAAAAAACCTAGATTCTAACCTTGGTAGTTGAATCAAGTGACGCCGGCCCTTGAGCTTTGTTTCCTTCCTAAAGGCGTTCCTATTGAAGAACGTTGTTGTTCTTATTAGTGGCGGAGGTAGAGGATGGCCAGGGTGGGCCATGGCCCACCCTGAGATTTTGAAATAGCTTTTATACCATAGGAGAAAAGCTAAAAATAATAAATAAATGTGAATATACAATAGCACTATCGGCCCACCCTGGCCCAGTGGGCTAGGTCCGCCACTGGTCCTTATGGTGTCAAGAGATGGTTGGTATGGATAGATCGTCGTTGTAGTTTGTCGACCATTATTTTGATCGCTTTGGGGATTTTTTTCCTTGCTTGGGTATATCTTTGGTCTTATATGACTTTGTTCTTTCCCGGCGTGTTTTCATGTTGGTTGTGTGCATCTTTGTTATGCAAAGGCTGGGTGTGAGTGTTTGTATCCACTTGAGGGTTCATTTTGAGTCCATAACATTCACCCTTTGGCAAAAAAAGTAAGCAAGTGTTAATTTGCTACTAGCTAGAATGAATCACCAATTAAGGTTTTCAATAGAAAGCATGTATCATGCATGCAAGGAAAATTGTCATGACTCATGACACACCATATCAAGTATGGAATCCAATGGTGTAAGGCATCACATTTTCGATAAAGGGTGGATTTTATTGGCTCAAATGGAGCATCAAGAAGATACAAACACAATGAGCACACATTCAACCTATGCATAACTAAGATGCACACAATCAACATCAACACACACACATACACACACACAAAGCCAACAAATAGCAAAGTCATAAAGGACCAAAGCTATGTGTAGGAGAGTAAAAAAAACTAAAAGCGATCAGATCCACGATCACAAACTACAGAAATGACCATATCCGCACCAATCATGTAATGACATCACATGAACCACGATATTCTTCAATGGCAACGCCTTCAGAAAGGGAACGACACTCAAGCGTCGCCGTCACCGGATCCAACCACCAAGGCCAGAGTCTAGATTTTCACCCTGAAGAACTAGTCCGAACTTATCCGAGCAATGCCTTCAAAAAGGTAACGACGTAAGAACATCTTCATTGCCAAGTATAACCACCTCGGGCCAGACCTAGGCTTTAACCCCGGAGCTCGAGACCGTGTGCTTGAGTAGCACCACCATCGACGTTATCCATGTTTGTCGCCACCGCTTTTCCACAATCCCAGCAGCTACATGCAATGTATCACCGCCACTGCACAACTATCACTCTGCATCAAGTCATGATCTGCAGTTTACATCTCATCATCGAAGTGAACCATCAGATCTGGAGCAATCCTCACGAAGATCTTTCAATGGTCACCACACGGCAATGAGGCCACCACCGCCGTCCGGAGATCCGGGAGCCGCGCATCTGGCCAAGGCCACCTGGGGCTAGTGGTACCTGGAACTGCTGCCGGCTGGCGACGTGTGCCCAAGACCACCGCAACGATAGGAAGCACTGCCAGCTCTTGCAAATTACTGCAGAAACAAGTGCGGGACCTCATCTCCGGCCTCCTCGGTTGAGCCACCTTTGCAGGAAAACGGGAACATGGCATCCCCGTTGGCGACGGCTGCGAGTCGCGATAGGATCTGGATGAGGCGTCCCTACACAAGGACGAGCCAGCTTCGTGCTCCTCCACATGCCAGGATGTGGCCAGAAAGTATGGCTGCCGTTGCACGACGCCGGCCGGAATCGAGGTCCGATTGGATCTGATGCCCAAGTCTTCATCAACAGAACACCAACGCTTGAACCAGCCCTACTACCTTTGGCATGGGCCCGCCACCGCCACGGCAGAGGCCGGCGGCGACGGCGGCGAGGGAGCCAAGGATCTGGAGAACTGGGCGGTGGCGGCGGGAGTGTCTCTCGGGTCGCTCACGGGTAGGTGACACGGGAGTCGGGCCTTAAAATGAGAGAGATTTCCACTTCCCGGCCTCTGCACCAACTAAGGATGCGTACGGCCATTTTTGTATGAGTACCAAGATAAACATGGTTCTCGAAATTTTTTAATGAGTATCAAGATATTTATTGATGAGTGGTTCCATCACACATCAAGCTTAATCCTCAATAAACAGAGGAAAACCCCTCTGCATCACCTGTTAATTCTCGGAATTGAACTCGAGTCGTTGGGCTGCACAACCGCATACCCAACCACAGAGCCAAGGCTCTCTCTGCAAAAGAGACAAAAAGAGACCTTCGGTTACATGGAATATATGTAAGAGCACATTGGAGGTACAATTACAATGGTTGCAAACCAGAAACGACCGTCTGGGCTTTAATTTTCATGTTTAGACCACCGTCTGGGCTGGCTTTATGCTGTACTGTAGCATAGAGAGTAAGCTGCTAGTGGCTTAGCACGTCGGGAATGTCCACTGGGTACCTGTGGATGGACGTGCTCCATGGCCCATGGATGTTGCGGGCAGCAGGCTGGATGCACTCCCACACCACGCTGTTGCACTTGAACCCTGAGCCGAAGCCGATCATCCAGACGCGGTGGCCCTTGCGCATCCGCCCTTTGGCCTCCACGTAGGCCAGCTCGTACCACGGCGAGCTGCTAGACGTGTTTCCGAACCGGTGCAGCGTCATCCGTGACGCCTCCACCTGCTCGTCGGAGAGCCGGAGCCTCTTCTGCAGCTCGTCGATGACCGCGCGGCCGCCCGCGTGAATGCACAGGTGCTTGAACGCCATGGAGAAGTCCGGGATGTAGGGCCTGATCCGCGCGCCGCGAAGCGCCTTCCGTGCGACGAAGGAGAGCGCGAAGAGGAGCTGCTCCGAGACCGGCAGCACGAGCGGCCCCATCCTGGTGATGTTGGCTTGGAGCGAGGCCCCGGCGATGGCCATCAGGTTCTTGCTGAGGTTGATCCCAACGTTCCCTTGCTCGTCCTCCTCCTGGAACACGCACCGGTAAGCATTGTCGTCGTTTGCGCCGGTGAAGGTGCGCACGACGTGCTTGAGGCGGAATCGGGCGTTCGCGGGGGACGTCGACAGCAGCGCCGCCACCCCGCCGACGCGGAACAGGCAGTTTGGCAGGAGCATCGCGCGCTCGTTGCCGACGTAGTAGTTCGGCGTGATGGTCTCCGTGGAGACGACCAGCGCGTGGGAGCCTCGTGGAACGACCTGCAGGAGGTTCCTGGCGAGCCCCACGGAGATGAGCCCCGCGCTGCACCCCATGCCCGAGAGGTTCACGCTACGGATGTCACAGCACAGGTTGTACTTGTTCACGATGATGTCGACCAAGGACGGCGTGGGGCAGAAGAGGCTGCAGTTGAGGACGAGCACGCCGATGGCGTCTGCGGTGACACCGGTCTTGACGAGCAGGTAGTCGATGGCCGAGAAGACGACGAGCTCGAACTCGGTGCGGGCGTTCTCGAGGGTGCAGTACTCATGCGTCGGGATGAAGTGGTGCGCCTCCGGCAGGCGGGTCTCCTCCCCGAGCCCCGAGCGGGCCAGCAGCCGCGACATGAACCGGACGCTGCGCTCGCTCATGGTGGGCGTATGCTTGGTGTGCTCGATGAATGAAGCCATGGGGATGCGAAGCAGCGGCGAGGTGTCGAAGCAGGCATAGTCGACCAGGTACACCGCGCGCGGGCGGAGCATTAGGTACACCGTGGCTGCTGCGGCAGCAGAGAACAGGTGTACTGGCCGGAGACAACTGATGATCTCCGCCGGGCCTAGCCGCAGCAGGACGGCGGCACATGAAGCGGCGAGGAAGCTGTCCACGATCAGCCGGTACACGACCTTGAGCTTGACCGGCGACGACCTCATGCTGCTTTTCTTTTTCTTAGAGTACTCTTTCTTTTACGAGCTAGGGTCTTGATTTGGTGCGTTTAGTGCTTCAACTTATATATACTTAGTCTTTAGTGCAAACAGAGCATTAATTGTAGTCAGCGGTTGACAGGTGATTTACGCAAACATATCACTTGCGGCCGTCACTGTCAGCTCGTGTTGCTGCTCGGCAGGCTACAGCCTACAGCTTTAATTAAACTCTCAATGTCGAACAGGAAAACAGAGGCAATGATTGATTTTGAGCTCTTTTGGACCTGATCTTTTTTTAGAAACAAAGTACAACACGGACACTCACATGTACACGCACACATGTACATCATATCCTTATAAGCTCCTCTGAGAGGTTTACTCGACGGGTATTGTGATTTATGATGTCATCATAGGCACCTCGCTAGCAATGAGTCCATCGCCTTCCACTGAAAGAATAGTTCGCTTTTACAAGATACACATGTGTCAAACCTTAAGTTTCGTCCCTGGTAAGCTGGGGGTACAACCAACCTACAAACCATCCAGTTACAGGTTGATTATTCAATTGGACCTAAATTTTTCTTGAAGAGCTGGAGAGGAAGTGGGGCAAATTGCAGGGGTGGTTGTGAAATGTTAAACCTTGTGTGCGGGGATGGCTGCACAGTACGCCCCAGGAGCCGAGCACCGTAACCACGACATGACATGAGAGAAAGTAGCGAAATGGTAGCCAGGATGATGTTTTAACCAAAGATGTGATGCACAAGATAAGATGGAATAATGATCCAACTTGTTTCTTCCGTGATAAGGTTGAGTCGTCTTAGCACCTCTTTTTCTTGTGCCATGTTGCTAGGGTAGTCTCGATAACGGTCGGGCCTTCCTTTGCCACCGATGTCCAACGAAAGAGAATTTTGGACACCTACGTGATTGGTTTTTTTTTTGAAGTGTATATCATGATGTGCCTGATTGCTTACTTGGATATAAATGGTGACATGCGAGATTTGTAAAGTAAAAAAATAATAATTTTTTGCCATGAAAATATCAATTTATTGACATAGTCTACGTCTCTTGTTGCTATACTAAATAACCGTCTAGATTTTGTATGTGCCCTATTAAAACCGTCTGGAAATTTTATTTTATTTTGCCATTGAACATGTTCATGCCCGGTTTGCATTTTTTTCGTGAAGAAAAGACATGTCTGGTGCCCTCGGTAAGAGGAAGAAAAAAAGGAAAATCAATACTAAGAATGGCCTTTTATGGCACTCATTTTTGTTTTTTTTAACCAAACAAGACCACTTTTTTCGAGGGCAAAAACTGGCATGTAGTTAGAAGACATGTTCATGTTTGTTGTGGGCTGAACTGTTGGGATGATTAGTTAGCAATCAGGCTGACAACAATGTCATTCCATAGGTCAAGCATCTAAGCTATGCGACACCTTCTAAGTGGAATGCTAAAATTATAGTCCAAACACAGAAACACTCCATGACATGAGTGTAGTGTTGCTTTTGAGATGTCAAAAAGCACATTAACTGGTATATGAACAAAGAATCTTTTCAAAGCCACTAGGTTTCAAATTTACGGTTTGGCTTTTTATCAGGTACCGGTTTTTTATTACCTAACTGTAACACACTAAATAGTTATAGGGCCCGACGTGCATGCATGCTTGCGGCCACACAGCCATGCAACATGTAGTCAAACTATTTCGAAAAAAAAGACATGCATGCACACTTCTCTGATCATGCACTGACTAATGGCCAGAATCCGAGAGTAATCAATTTCTTGATTATCTAATCTAGAAATAATCAAGAAATTACGGAAATATAATAAGGGGATATATACTCGATGATATGGCACCTTTGCCTATATACTAAAAAAATTGTAATGTGATTAACGGAAAGTGTCTCTACGAGTGAATTAACACGCAAGTTGTATGATGGAAGACTTTGGTACTCCCTCCATCCAGATATACAAGCTCAATTCCTCAATGAAAATACGAGGCCTAGTATGTTTTTCGAGGTTGACTTTGACAACCGGTTAGAGCAATAATGTATGACGTGTATGTTACAAAAAGTATACCATCAAATTCTTATCTGAAAGGAGTTCTTAATGATATAATTTTTACATCATACATCCTCATATTTTATATATCTTATCAATGGTCAAAGGTAACCCAAAAAAGAAACATCAGGTCCTATATATTTCGATGAAGGGAGTACACAAAGTTGCAAAAATGCAATGAACCAGTCCACACACTTAGTAAGCAGGCACTCCCTCTGTCCCATAATATAGGACTTTTTTTGACACTAATGTAGTGTCAAAAAATGTTTTACATTATAGGACGGAGGGAGTAACAAATAGTCCAAATCACTCCGAACCAGCCATAATCATACATTGTTTCACACAATACCCATGGAGCTTTACCTTTTCACGAATAGGTCCTCAATCAATCCGTTTGGATATTTCCTCATGTGCACCCACCATTGTGAATCTACTCTGCGCCCGCCCCATGATGGCTAGCATTTAGTGGAATGCATTGTGTTAATTGCAACAGATAGTTAGCATACTTGCGGAAGGTAGTACTGCCTAATATATTTGCAGTTGGCGATAGGTTCTAATATTTTTTATTATGCAAACCAGGCAGTCATTTGGCGGAAGGTGCTCTTTTATGCACTAGTTGGAGCACCCTCATTTGGGGGGAGCCAAATATTCATATTTGGTGACCTTGGGGCTTAGTAGCTAAATTGGGCAAGATTTGGTGGAAGCTGCAGAAGCACTATGATTAGAAGCTAATCTTTTTTTAAGTTAATAGAGCCAGATATTTACTGTATAGGGTTGGATGGCCGGCTCCCGCATCACTGTCTGCGGCCTAGTCCTCCCAGTCCGTGGACGGATGTGGTATCCGGTCTGGAAGTCAATGTTGGAGATACCCTAATATCAACAACTACATACAAGTTATATGTGATATTACACCGCTGTGAAAACTTACACTGCTATATGCGTATTCTTGCATATTGTGAAATAGTGCAAGTTCTACGCAATTTGTGCACAAATGTTTTGTCATGATATACTTTAAGTTTTCTTTCTTCATTTTCTTTCCTCTTTATGCTAGTACCGGTGCAACTAATTCATTCTTTCCTATATTTTTTATAAAAAAATTGTTTTTTGCTTTTGTTTGGTATATGGCTCTGTTTTTTTCTTTCTTTTAGGATAATATCGATGCCCTTGATTTATTCTTTGTTTAAAAAGCTTCTTTTCTGTCTTTTTTTAGTTTTGTATTTGTTTATTTTTTCTTCTGCCTATTGAGTGAGTGTCAAAGCGGTATAATTTACAGCTTATACTACTCATTAATTGATGCTATTACAATTTAACAGAAGATTGGATCACAATGGTAGCCTGGTTTAAGCTGGCAAAGTGCATGCATGCATACATAGAGATGCATGGAGAGGTGTGGGCTACACGGT